AATTATAGTCACTGGCTGTTGGCTTTTTGGATCTCCCCTTTCGGAAACAAAACCTTTTGATATAAAATGTTTGAAGTAGGGATCTAGACCATTAGTCTGTCAAGGGCCTTAGCAGTGCACCATTTGTCCAAATGTATGCCTTCTTATCTGGGAAACCCAACAAAAGTTTGGCCATTAGGTTTTGTGTGTTTCCTCAATTTTTGTCTGTAAGCCTCTGGTACAAGTTCATAAGCATGAAATATTGACTCTTTAAGCATATTTTACTTCAAGGTATCCTCAATGGAACGTTTAATCAGAATCTCCTGTGCTTTACCCACCAGCTTACACTGGAGCAATGTCTTTAGGCCACTCAATTGCCATGGTTATCCGCTCAAATTCATCAAAATAGGAATTAATCTCTGCCTCACAAAACGTGGGCACAAACACAATATTTCTGCTCGGATAAACCGCAGTTCTTTTTCTGCTTTACACTACCTCGCTGATAAGCTAGTTACCTGCCACGTTTAAATTGATGCATCAATAGATGATTTTGTGCTTTTTTTTCAGGTTCTCCAAAAAAATGGACAGATCTCCGACATCAGCAAGAAAGCTGAGAGCTCCATATCAGAGCTGAATGGCAACTGTGAAGATATAGAAGGTAGGAAACCATAGTTTAGACACAAAACCAGATATTTACCTTCGTAGTAAATAGGACGTTTAATCAGAAAACAATACTTCTTGTTTTATGTCATGATTGCCAAAATTATCTCTACTTGCTTAATGCCAGACAAGATTTTTTTTTAATATCTTCAAATTCAGAAGTGTACATACATTTTCCTAACATTTTAAACTCTGCCCGGGGTGTTTTGGGTTTTCTTCCCAAAACACCTCAGTTTGTTGTTTCATAGTTTGTTGGAATTTTCCTCCTGAAATAACTGGTTTGTCTGAGCTACCTAGTCCGCACCCAGACCTCTCTCTTTTTGCTCGATACAATTTTGTGGTCTTTGTCTAATGGGAGAAACATATGGTTCCCAAATTCAAACAATAAAGTCTCATGTTGGTGAATCAATATTTTCACATTGATTCTTTCCTTTTGAAACTGTATATTATGAGAAATGCATCAAACCCCACAACATTATGCTCCTGCTTCCGTGTTTTGTATAATATTGTTGAACTTTCCCATGATGTCACACATAGAAAAGACGCTTTTGGTGTTTGCTAAAATACACCCACAGGTGTACCTCCAATTAACTTAAATTACCAATTAGAAGGTTTAAACGCTAAGACATCATCAAATCTAGGTATATCTCCCATTTGTCTGGTATTCAGCAAACAGACTATTTTTCTGGTAATCATAATCGACGTAAAACAGGGAAATTCTGAAATAATGTAGAATCAGTTGTAGAGACATTATTTGTCTTTGTATACTGTGTTTCCAAATGTTTTAACGGAACATCTGAGCATAATATCAGCAGAAGAAATAAATATTTATAATTTCTTTTTTTTTTTTTTGTTTAGCTGCCATTTGTCCAGAAATAAATATTACAGAAGCAGTGGAGGATAAAGAGACACCTTTAGAAAATGAAATCGATTTAAAGGATGTAGCTAAAGACACTGAAGACGAACTGGTTGAACAAGAGGATGTGATCGAAATGGATGCCAAGCAGAATGACATCAATGAAAGTTTCAGGAAATTTTTCAGCAACATTGGTCTGAAACTCACAGTTAAGAGAGGCTCCACTGACAAAGGTGGCGTACCTATAGACATGTCGGAGGAGGAACCAAGCAAACCAGAAGACATTAAGGGTGAAGATGCTGCAAACAAAATAAACAAGGATGATGAGGAACAAACAGAACTTATCACAGCAGAGGAAGCTGTAGAAAATGACTCGACTGTGTGCCAGACACTGACAGATGACACACCTGATGATTTTCAGGAAAAAGAAGGAGAAAAAACAGCCGAAACCAACGAGGAAAGAATATCACATGAAACATCTCCACTTCTCAATGAGGATACTACGCCACAAGAGGAACCACAACCACCATCTCCAACTGGTCTTGATGAAACTGCAAGTCCATTTAAAAAGTTTTTTACAACTGGGATCTTTTCTGGTCTCCGAAAGAAAAAAAAGCTTGAAGACGAAGAGGTGGGTGAGAAAGAACTGGTAGAAGGTGAAGTAAATGTGACCCAGGCTGGAAATGATGAGCTACATGATGAAGATGTCACTCCAGTTCTTGATGCTAAAGAGGAGAACCTAATCACCAAATCAGCTGAAGTCCAGGAGGAAGCTAAAGCACCATTGATTGTTGTAGATGAAATCACAAACTCCCAGGAAATTGTTCAAGAGAGTCCCCTAAAAAGGCTTTTGTCAGGCTCAAGTTTCAAGAAGCGCAGTAAAAAGCAAAAAGGCAGAAAATCCAGTGATGCAAAGCTGTCTGACTCTGGAGAACACGTTTCAGATCAGCATCTGTCATCTGTAGAGTCAGCTGAAAATAAGAAAGATGAAACCTCTGCCCAGACATCTGCTGAGGCAGTGAGTGGGGAAGATGGGGCTTGGTTTTCCTTCAAAAAACTTGTTACTCCCCAAAGGAGGAAGAAGTCGTCTGTGGACCATGTAGAGGAACCAATCCAAGGTTCAAAAGATGGAGAGAAATCAGTTGAAGGGGAGCAAATATCGGATCAAAGCACGGAGGAGGGAAAAAGGAGAAAAGACTCGTCTGTGTCATGGGAAGCTGTGCTGTGTGGATCAGGGAGGAGAAGAAGCCGGAAAACCTCAGACTCCGAGGATGAGACACCTCAGCTGGACGGTGAAGAGAACAGGCAAAACGACAGATCTAAAGAAGCAGGATCAAGAGCTTCTACTGAGGTGCAGGAGGTTCTGGCTTCACCCCCTAAAGAGACAGAAGGTCCTCCAGAGGGAGACGAAAGCTCAACATGGAAATCATTCAAAAAGCTTGTCACTCCCAAAAGAAAATCTAAAGATGAGGGAGAACGTATCAGCGAAATCGACCAAGAGGATTCTTCCTTTTCCATAATAAGGCTCCTGTCAGGAAGGAAAACAAGGAAGTCTGTTGATGTTTCCCCTGAAGAGGTTAGTAAAGAGATAGCAAGCGTCTGTGATGAAGACTCTGAGACACCAGCTGTGGTTCCACTGTCTGAGTTTGATTTAACAGAAACACAAACAATGGCAGAAAAGGATGCAGACAATACGCATCAAATGGACATAAACGAAATCAAAGAGGAAGTCCAGTCTAAGGATACTGTGCAAGTTCAGGCAAATGACATCCCAGACAATGAAGGAGCTTTAGAAAAGGAGGCTTCATCGGCTGTTGCTACAAATGAAGAACACAATGAGCTCACAGAATCAAGCGAGCATCAACACCTCAGTGACATACCGGAAGAGGGAGTCCTCACAGAGAACACCCCGGCCTCAGAGGAGGCAGCTAAAGATGAAACAATAGCAGAGGATCTGTTGGAGATCACATCTGAGGCCATTACTGCTCCAGAACCAGCAGATGTTACCCTGGCAGATGAAACTGAGATGGTTTCTGCATTATCCCAGTTATCAGAGTCTTCAAAAACATCTGGCAACACAACACCTGTCCCTGCAGAGTACAGCGTCCTAAACACAGAGACCCTCCTCCAGCAGGTTTCTGAGACTATCACCGTAAGCCCAAAAGCAGTTCCAGTGTTCTTAGAGGAACCGAACCCTGAAAGAGTTGTTTGTTTAGCCTCCAATCAAATACTTGAATCGTCTGTATTAGAGAAGCCAAAAATACTGGAAATACACAGAGAATCAGATGCAGCAAGCATAAAAACCGGCTTAAATGCTGAAGAAATTGATGCAGTGAATGAAGTCACAGCAACGGCCCAAGCCGAAAGTATATCTCACCTTAATGAAGCCATTTTAACGGAAATTTCTTCAGAAGTTCCTAAAGAGTTGCTTGACACTGCCAAGCCTGCTGCAGATGAAGTCTATGAAGTAAATATTTCAGAGTTACAAAAAGACATTAAGGATATGCAAATTGTTGAAGAGAGGCAACATGCGGTTGAAGATACAGGGGATGTAGATGAAGAGGCATCTTCAGAGAGTTTACCTAAAGGAGAAGATGCAGGAACTGAGGATGTTTTGACTGATCAAACTGAGCAGGACAGCAGAAAAACACACTCTGAAGAAGAAGAACTAGCTGTTCCATCAGCAGATGACTTGGAGGAAGCATATGAGAAGGAGGAAGAACAACCTGCAACAGAGCTGGACACTGAAACCAAACAAATGCCCTTTGAGCAAGCCCAAAATGAGGCTTTATCTTCTGCAGCAGTGGATGAGTTAGAAAAACAGGCTGGAGCAGAAAAAGTCGAGTTGCCCAATGTAGAGCGTGATATTCAGTCACATGAGGAAAGATCCGCAGAGGACACGGAGCCATCTGAAATACTGTCACAGGATCTTACTGAAGTAACCAAAACAAACACGGAACCTCAAATAGCTGGAGCTGAAACTGACATAAGTCCACCAATCCAGTTGGAGGAGGACATGCTTGAGACACCTAACAAAGAAGTAGATTTGATTTCAGAAAATATTTTAACTACTGAAAAGGATACTGATGAGTCAACACAGGTAGTGACTCTCCCTGAAATGACCAAGGAAGCAGCAAAGAAAGAGCCAGAAAATGATCTGTCTGAAGTAACGGTATCATTAGAAAATGTTCAAGCACCAACATTAGAGTCAGAAGAAGATATAACCGAACCCCCTAATAGGGAAGTATTGTTGTCAGATGGTCCAGCATTTGAAACAGAAGCAGAAGAATCCAGACAGGTGGATTCTTTGATTGAAGAAGCCAAAGAGGAAGAGAGGAAAGAGTCTCTAATAGCTGCTGATCAAGTCGGCAGCTCTGAAGTTACAGATGTATCAGAGATCATGCAGGATCCGGCAACAGAGACAGATGAGAACGTTGTTCAGTCCCTACTTGAAGACGTGTCATTACCAGACATGTCATCAGGTGAAACCCACACAGAAGAATCTAAACCACCAGAACCTCTCACTGAAGTCAGAGAGGAGCAAGACGATAAAGAACCTAGAATAGGTGAAGTCCAAATTGATCAGTTAGAAATTACAGAGGTATTTCAAACCGTTGAAGTGCCAACATTAGAGTCACAAAATACATCTGCCCTGTCCCCTGATGAAGAATTATTACTGTTTGACATTTCCCAAGCTAAAACAGGAGAATCCAAACAAGTAGAGTCTCTCACTGAGGTCCCAGATGAACAAGAAGACAAAGAGACAAAAGCAGATGCAGCTGAAACAGAAGAATCCAAACACGAAGAGTTGGTCACTGAGGTCCCAGATGAGCCACAAGACAAAGAGACAAAAGCAGATGCAGCTGAAACAGAAGAATCCAAACACGTAGAGTTGGTCACTGAGGTCCCAGATGAGCCAGAAGACAAAGAGACAAAAGCAGATGCAGCTGAAACAGAAGAACCCAAACACGAAGAGTTTGTCACTGAGGTCCCAGATGAGCCAGAAGACAAAGAGACAAAAGCAGATGCAGCTGAAACAGAAGAATCCAAACAAGTAGAGTTGGTCACTGAGGTCCCAGATGAGCCAGAAGACAAAGAGATAAAAGCAGATGCAGCTGAAACAGAAGAATCCAAACACGTAGAGTTTGTCACTGAGGTCCCAGATGAGCCAGAAGAAGAGACAAAAGCAGATGCAGCTCAAACTGAAAACGCTGAACTTGCAGAAGAATTTAAATCTGTAAAGTCCGATGAGGATGTTATTCAATCCCTTATAAAAGACACTGAAATGGACAATCAGGAAGAAAAACAAGAGGTAACTAATAAAATCAAAGGCATAAATCCACAAACAGATGCTGATCAAATCAACCAGGTTAAAGAGGAAATATCCTCGCAAGCACCAATAATTAATTTAGAAGAAGATGCAGTTAAGTCCATTGATAAGGAGGCATTGTCCCCTGAAAACATTTTAGCTGGAGTAACAAATTACAAGGAACTTGAACTGGCAAAGTCCCTCCCTGAAGCACAAGAAGAGCAAGACAACAAAGAGCTACAAACAACAATTACTGCATTGGAGTCCTCGGAAGTTGCACATGTTTCTGAGATTAAAGACGCCATAGATGTTGCACAAGATGCCATACTGGAGTCAGAGGGAAGCAGAGTTGAGATTCTGGAAAAAGACATAACACCTTATGAAACTGTACCAAAAGCAGAAACAGCTGAAGAGACACCTAAAACTCAGACACTAGATGTTCAAGCAGAAGATACTCCTGAAACCGAACAAGCTCTGGAACCAGAACCTTCTTTAGCACCTCCACTAGATCCAGCAGAAATTAGCTGTGAAGCTTGTGATACAGACGTGATATATGATACTCCAGTAGTGGAAAAGGTCACAGATGAATTAATTATTACCGATTTGAAAGAACCTCTCTGTGAGAAACTAGAAGGTTCGCTCTCAGATGCACAAGACATTACCTCAGATCTAGATACAAGTCAACAAACAACTGCACCAAATGAAGAGGAAAGTACAACTGAAAAAGTTGAACTGCAAACAATGCTTCAAGATGTTCCTCAACCAGAAGACATTGACATTGCTAAAGAAGAGCCAGAGGGCAACGTTGCACAGCAGTTGGATCAAGAAACCGATGCTGAACCATGTGATGCTAAGGTTAAGGATGAAGAAAATGTTCTTGAAGATCTGCAAGGGTTACAGGCACCAACAGCAGTTCACATATCATCAGTTGATGAGAGTCCAGGGAGTGCAGAGGTCCTAGAAAAAACAACAAGTCTTGAGGAAAACCTGCCAGATTGTATAGACACAGCAGAAGTTTCAGAGGAATCCAGGAACGAAGTGAATCTCTGTGAGCAGCAGGAGAGGGTAGAGGGGGAGGAAGTGGATCTTCTTTCAGACGCTGAGATAAAAGTTGCTGCAACCGTTAGTAACGTCATATCACACGAAGTTATGAGTAATCTGAAGGAGGTTTCAACTGAGAAACCTAGTGCTGTAGTTTGTGAAGCTTTAACGGCTAAAATGGTCAGTGAGTCAGAATTCATTGATACAGTTGAGACTACGGCACCATTAGTGTTAGATGAAATAAATCAGGCAGCAGAGCCCAGCAGCGCTGTTCTGAAGATGAATGTTCCGCCCGTGGAGATCGAGGTCAATCACAAAGTCCAGGTGCACCTGATGGATGTTGAGATCAGATCAGCCGAGAAGATGGTAGACACAGTGATCCAGGTAGGGGTTACAGAAGTTAAGGGGACCATTGATGTGTGTCAGGAAAACATTCAGGAAGTAGAGAATATCTCAGCCACTGCGGGAATTGAAGAAGGAGTCGCATATGAAGGAATCCAGGTGACAGTTCAAGATGTCATGCAGCACATAACAAGTAACTTACCAGAGTCAGCATCCGACTCGGCCTCTGAAAATGAGGAAAAGGACATTGAATTGAAAGAAATTATACAAAAGGTTTGTGAGACAGATCAAAAGGAATTGGTTCAAACAGAAGAAGATACATTGATCATTGACAGCACTGAGATGGTCAATGAAGGACAAGAGGAGGAGGCTTTAACTGTTACTGAGAACTCTGGAATCCCTGTTGAGCAACTTGAAGAATCCAAGCTACTGTCCAGTAGTCCCCAAAGCTCTGAAGTGTCCATCAAGGACCACAAAGAGGATTTAAAGGAAGCAAAACCTGCTGAGCCAGAAATAATCACTGCAGTAGGAGATGTAAGAGCAGAGGTGTTAGCTGTAAAAGACCCCAATGAAAGCCCAATGGAACCTCTGCCAACTACTCACACACAAGTCGCCACTGCTGGCACTGCTGGATTAGCTGTGCCCCAAAACACCGGAGTAATCTCCTCAGCAGGGAACCTTGAGTCCCCCTCTAGCCTGTCCTTAGAATTTAAACTGAATATACAGTTTGCTCAAGCTAAAACCCAAACATGGCCATCAGCTGCACCTACAGAGAGACCTGAACCCGTTAGACAGGTTGATGTTTTTGACGCTGGAGTTCAGGCAGAGGAGTCAGTACCTAAAGGAGATGAATGCAAGAAACAGACAGAACTAAATGAGGTCGCAGTGCAGGCAGTCAGTGTCACCGAAGCAGATCCCGAGACACACTTAAACCAGAGGGCCTTAATTGCAAGTCAGCCAGTGTTACAAGATGTGGGCATCCAAGCAGTGGAAAGGACAGAATGGTATGAACAAATCCAATCTACTGAAAGAGCCACAACAAAGGTCCAGGCCGTGGATGTCCAATCATCACGACAAGAGAAGAGAGCAGTGCTCCTGAGTAAGCCTCTGCTCTCCGAGTTAAAAAAAGGCTGGGCTTTTAGGCAGTCAGAGGATGAAAATGATGTGTGGCTGGATGCAGAGGAGGACATCTATCCACAGCATGTCCCACAGACAACCATTGATCAGGTGGACGAACATATCCAGCTACAGAGTGAGAGTGAACAAAAGGAGGAAGCAGAGCCTGAGATGGAGTTTGAGATGGCAAGCAGTCTGGAGACTGAGGACACAGAAAGCCAACAGAGCAAACGGAAAAAAGAAACAGGTGCAATAGAAAGTGAAGGGGAGGATTTCGATGTTGCACTTGAGGAGCTTGGAAGCAGTGTCCCTGCAGTGGAATGAAGCCACTATAACCCGACCCTTGGGTTAAAGCCAGGTAAAATATCTCCCTTTAAACTCGTTAGTCTTCAGTTAACTCGTTGACAATTGAATTTAACAGCTGCTTTTTCCTCTTTTCCTAGGTTTGGACAATCATAACAAAGAAGCCACTAAAGCATTTCCCATGACATCAAGTGACACTAAATATGACAACTCCCATATTTAGCGGTGATATCATCCTGGATTTTAAAAATATGATTATTATTTAGGTGTGGTTTGGGCAGGGAAAACTGTTGTTCTCCTCAGGGTAAAGATAGTGGGATTTCAGATGTGACCACATCGACCGTGCGTTTAGACTACTAATAATGTGCAATCCTCCTACTTGTATGTAACATGTTAATTCTGTCTTTAAAAAGATAAAGAACAATTTAACGAGATGATCAAAAATATTACTCTGACACTGCACACATCTTTTTTATATACTAATGTAGGTAATTCAAGCTTTTCCTATTTATTATCTAATTTGCCCATTCAGTTTTTGTTCAGTTATTACACTTATAATGCCGTGAAGAACTCATACTTATTGAACATTTTCAGATTTCATCAACTTAAATGTATTTTGTAAGGAATGTTAGACTTTCACTTGTCCTTACCTGCATATTATCTGAAAAGTGTGGAAGTCAGTTGATTTTAAGCCCTCAAAAATCAATACTTTTACAGAACCTTTTCTTTTGAATACAGCTTTAAGTGGAGTATGTTTCTACCAGCTTTACGCAACCAGATTTGAAAGCATTTCTTTGTTACATAAAAGATCAGATCCAAATCAGATCAGGTGGGGAGCATCATGGGGTCTGCCATAGATTCTCAATAGGGTTCAGGTCTAGATTTGATTTTGTTTTTATTTTTAAACACATCAATCTTTTTAAGTTCCAAGCGGTTCTATTGTAGCTCTGGATACATTTCAGGATTGTTGCAATCACACATAGTGTTTTTACTATATATAATTGAATATTTTGGGGATTTCCTTCTTTTTAAGAGTTTTTTTGCCGTCTCTCTTCCTTAAAAGCGCTACATCCTTTTAGGTTAGATTTGCCAAAGCCAAAAACAGCAACTCAGCAGTAATTAAGCCATAAATGCACATAAGAATAGTTGAGATTAACCCGTAAGCAAAGTATTTGTCAGTTACAGCCCTATTGAAAACCACATATGATCTTCCCTCCACTTTACAACTATGTTCTAATTTATTTTGCCCTACATAATAGAATTATAGTAGAGTACCACAAAGTTTCTGGCTGTAATTGAGAAAGGCGAAAGAGAGTAATAAATACACTTTTCATGCTTTATAAGTATACATCAGATATGTTATTATATATATTTCATCTTGTACATATTTTTGAAATGTATACAGGCTATGCAACGTATATTTGCAATCAAAAAGAGATACTTTGTTGAATTTCAAAGTAAGGGGAGTAGAGAGCATGCCATAGCACTGTAGAGACATTTGATATTTAATGTAGACAAATACTGACTTTTAAGTGTTTGGATTGTAATCTGCACAGCCTTAATCATGGTATATTTTACTTCTTTTTCCATTCTTCTCCTCCCGTCTATGAATCAACTATAAAAGAATCAGCTGATATAATCAGGTCTGTATTAAAACTGAAGAAAACATGCAGTTGATTAGTTTTCTTTTTATTCAATTTCTCCTGATTTTAAAGTAATTCCTCTCATGTCAAGAGTGGCAAGATGTAAAACAGAACCATGAGATGCCTTTATTCATATATTACCAAGATTTATTATTAAAACATTGTTTTAATTAAATAAAATAAGACCTGAATATATACCAGATCTCCTGTATTGTTTTTAAATTGTTTGTGCTTTGTCATTGTTTATTATTCAGCTGTCAGTTTAAAAAATAATGAAGGGTTTTTTTATTATATAAATCTAAAGGAAAACAACTGAAGAAAAACCTCAGCAATCACACTTTGTGATTAGGACTAAATAAGCACTGATACATTTGTGTAGGCAATTTTATTTTGGCATGAATTAAGTCACATGAATAACGCTAGGTATGACCTCATGATGCTCTGAAGATAAAATAAAAATGCTGAAAAATCTAAATACACAAACTCAGCAAAATAAACATTAAACAATCCCATATTTAACCAGTGCAATCATGTTAAAACACTAAGCAGCCATGAAATTGGACAGAAAGATAAATCTCTATATATTGTGCGCCTGAAAACTGTTCCCTCTTTCAATGAAGGAGTAAAAAAACTCAAACTAATCCGGTCCCCTTCACATTTTGCAGCTGCTTCAGCGACTCACTGTGACATTGCAGTGAACGAGCACCTCAATAAAGTTCAGCATTCTCTTATGCAGTGTCTAATGCCATTTACTGATTTGTGCTTTCTTGGATCAGCAGATTAGAAGATCATCTTTGCAAGTTCAAACATCACCTATAAAGAAAACAACACAGAAATCCATCAGTTCAAACAGGGCAGGAGAGACTTTTACAGTGCTTTACTAAAACAACAACAGAAAAAGATCTGTTTTTCATTATATATAAAGATATATAAAGATTCTGTATGATAGGACCAACATAATGCAGTGCACAAATGTGATGCATAAACGGTTTTATGAACGCATTTTAAAAAGCCATCAAGATATTTATTCTGAGCCACTTTTTAAACATTATTCTGCAACTCCAGCAGCAGATATTTGTACATCTAAAATTTGTTTGCCAAATAACTGCAGGTTAGTAAAACTAGATAGAAATAAAAAAAAATCAGGTTTAAAGTTTCCATCTCTTTTCTCATTTAAAACTAAACCTGCAGTCTTACTTCTTATAAATATGCGAAATGTTTCAAAAGCTCGCTACCGAATCTCTAGGCCTTCAGAGATCAGTATTATGGAAGAAAAACAGTCTCATTGGAATCTGCCTTTTTTTAACACCCAATTTTAAACACTGAATTAGTTAAACACTGAATTTTTTTAACACCCAATTTTAAACACTGAATTTGTTAAACACTGAATTTTTTTAACACCCAATTTTAAAAACTGAATTTTTTAAACACTGAATATTTTAAACACTGAATTTTTTAAACACTGAATTTTTTTAACACTGAATTTTAAACACTGAATTTTTTTAACACTGAATTTTAAACACTGAATTTTTTTAACACTCAATTTCAAACACTTTTTTTAGACATTGAATTCCTTACACTCAATTTTTATCTGGTTAAAATTCACCAGAAAAAAATTCAGCTGCAAAAAAATTCAGCTGTTCACAGCTGAATGAGGACTTTATTTTTGTTAAACAGAATTACAATTATAACGTCAGTTAGCTACTAACAGACAGCTATTACAGTTTTTCCTCTTATCAGACTGGGTGAAACGACTGAGCCGATCACAGCTAGTACAGCACCCCTGTCTGCCAAGGCTCTTGGTTTGATTCGGAAGAGCAGCTGAATTTTTTTCTGGTGAATTTTTACCACATAAAAATTGAGTGTAAGGAATTCAATGTCTAAAAAAAATCAGTGTTTAAAATTCGGTGTAAAAAAAAAAGGCAGATTCCAATGAGACTGTTTTTCTTCCATACAGTATGGTCACAGCTTTTATATACTGAGGTTAATTTACACACACATGGGCTCTGTATACTATCTGGGAAACTTCTGACAGCAAACTGATTAAACTGGTTTCTTTTTAGGAGTCTAAGTATAAAGGCTGAGCAATGATTTTCTAACTGGATTTGATATTTCACACAAATTCCCAAATAAAAATTCCCAGATAAAGGGTTAAAGTAAAGCCAGTTTACCTCTATGGTAATGAGGATGACTATCATCCACTCTAATCTCAAGCTGTGCTTTTCACTCAGGTGGCTCCTCATCAGGTCAGTCAGCTGTGTACAATGTTCCAGCTTCTCGTTCACAACCTAAAAACAAAGTCAATGTTGAAAGGAGGCAGAATTTCTCACTGAAGCCCTCATTCAGGACTCATCGGCATTCTGTTCCTCAGAGTAACTCGATTTACGTTAACTCTGCGGTTGATGCTCAGGAACTGGCATGTCTTGTCATAGAGCTTTTCTAAGTTCTCTCGGTCCCAGTAGAAATCAGGAGTGAGCAGCAGGTCGGACCTCAGGTTGATGCAGTGCCTGTAGGAAGAAAGAGGCAAAAAGCAAATGCTGAAAAGTCCTGGTCATACCTGAGGTCGGCGATTCTTAACAAGACAGCAGCAACTAACATATAGGCAGTAAATTAAGTGAAGAATCAGGCATTTCTAGTAATTGGAGAGCTCTGGCTTTCTCTTAAGTTGTAAACTAAAATAGAAAAAGAAGGAGCTGCTGTTTGGAGGCAAAATGAATTGACCTTAATGTGAAAAGTTCTCCGATCTTCTGCATAACTTCAGCAGAAGAAAGCTTGACTCTTCTGCCAGACTTCAGGGTCTAAGGAAAACAAATGACCTTATATTACTCTTCTTATAATAACTCACATGAATCAAGAAAATTCTCTCTTCATCTGATTCTTTTTACCTCTGGAATTGACTGAATTGACTCTACAAAGTTGTCCAAAGCCACCTCCCATATCGCCAACTTTACTGAAAAACAAAGAATCAGTAAAAAGTTTGCATCTTGACAGAACAAAGGAAGTATTCCTCCTTAAAGATTGCATCTCACCAGACAGACAGAGGGCATTTGAAAAAGCAAATTTCTCCAGAACCGCCTCATGTTGATCCATTTCGTAACTAAGAATGAAATTGCCTCTTTCAAGTTTCGTGTTTCCTCTAAGGAGGAGATTCAGAAGTTAAAGGGAAGCAGAACAAAAATCAGGAACACTAATAAACCAAAGTGACAGTGAAGCCTTTCTTACTCTCCCACGGTGTAGTTAATCTCCTCGTTTTCCCAGTGGACTAAAGCAACTTCATAGGGCTGGATCTCATGATGCTCCAATAATCGTAAAACCTTTTTCATCTGCAGGAAATGAAAACAACATCCATTGTCGAAGGAGTTGACAGGATGGAAACAAAAACAAACCATATTTACCTCTTTCTCCTCAACATTCCAGAAAACCACTGATCCTTCTCTGAAATACAGATTAGACTCAGCGTTAGATGAGACAGAAAACTAGCTTATATAAAAAAAATTTATATTTAAGCTAGGGATGCACGATATAATCGGCCCCCTATCGGTATCGGCCTTAAAACTGAAAATCGATACTGATATTTAACC